ACAAGGATTTCTTAAAGCTGTCCACTTCAATGAAACTGGAAATGCAAATTGTAGATGATATATTTATAGATGTGGTTTAGATCAAGCAACAGGAACTCGACTCCGCAAGGAATTTCACATCATCGATCCCATTCTCCAAGTGCTTTAACCCCATATTAAGATTGGCAAATGAATGTACATTTATGTGTTAAACTTAAATAAAATGTTTAAGGTACGTATGTATGATTTTTTTGATTTCCTACTTTGGCTTTAATTCCTTTTTTCCCCCTCTGTTTTGGATATGATTGTTTTGGATACAAAGGCTTCTGCTTCAGTAAGTGGTCTGATTTCTGTTATGTCAGTGATGGAAGAACATAAGCTTCAAAACGAAGATAATGCTGGTCGTGTTATGTTGGAGTTAAACAGAGAACTGGCACTGAGATCCTAGAAAGGGCTTCAGAAAGAGATCAGTCTGGTTTTAGTTTCTGACACTTACTTCCTAAGGATCTTAAACTTTGTGGATCTTCATGCCCTCATCGATAAAATGGGAGTGTTCCCTACGGTAGAGAGTCTTTGAAGAGAAACATGACCTTGGAGATAGTAGGTGTTCAGTGTGTCATTAAAGTAGCTTTGTGATCCCAGGCAAGTTACTGAACTTCATTGCCTAGTTTTCCACTCACACTTTATTGATGAAGAGATTCCTAGAGATAACATTTTTTTGGTTATTTTATCAGGATCTGAGACTGAGTCAAACCCAAAATATATTACTTGCTCAGTAAATGTTTTAGTTAGTGAACATGAACCATTTTACCTAATAGCTTGCATGCTAATTAAAGAAGGGCAAGCTTTTTCAACTATGAGGTACAGAGTGTTTCTATGAGGTACGCAATGAACTTCACCAACTTAGAATGACCTCTTTGTCAGAGAGATGAGTATCATTTATTCAGCTATTGGTCTTTGACAGGCATTGTGTGCACCAGGATTCCTCATCAAGAACTAAACTATTTGCATATGGACTTTGTGTTCATCTTGTCCATCTGACCTTATATAACTAGTTCTTAGTAAGACTTAAATGTGTTTTTTTGGCCAGAAGGTTGGGAAAATTCAAGTGAAGAGTAGAGAAAATCTATTTTTATTTTTTGAAGCGAGGCAACCCTTGGCTGACTTCACAGATCGCAAGGACCTTGTCAGCTTACAATCCCTTCTTTTCTTTTTTTTTTTTTATGCCTACAGCACCTGGTCTTCCTAGGCGGTCTCCCATCTAAGTACTAACCAGGCCCGACCCTGCTTAGCTTCCGAGATCAGACGGGATTGAGCTTGTTCAGGGTAGAATGGCTGTAGACTGAGAAAATCTAAAGAAAATTAAGCACTTTTGATAGCCTGAGCTAAGGTGATTTGAAGCAGGTGTGGGGGGAAAACTTAGTATTTTAACTTATTCAGTAGATGTTTGATTGCTAATTGTCCAACTGCTAACGCTGTAGGAATGACCACTTTTCAGTAGAATCAGCAGAGGAAGCAGATGATATCTAGCCCGATTAATTCTGCTGCGAAATGGTATTTTCAGTTAGGATTTTACTTTTCATTTTTGATGCAGCAAGGTATTATAAAACTACAATTTCCCTTTTAATTGGTGATTTTAGAAGGTTGGTTTCATTCCTATTGATAGAGATTTTATCTTTGTAATGGAATTAACAGTATTAGTTTACATTATAGCACATGTTGCTGGAATGTATGTATTTTATTAACACGCTTAATTGCTTTTTTTTTTTGTAATTGTCTTATAAGCCAGGAGTACCTGCGATCCAAGTCCAAAATAAGACCTTTTACAAGAGAATATGCATCTTTTTTTGATGACGTGCTTAACGGTCAATATTTTAAATCCAACTTTAGTTCAGACTGAATTTGACTTTTTTTGTAGCTATTTTATTTTACTCTTAAGCTGCATAATGGGATATTGGATGGTATAGGGTATTGGGCACTGTATGAAGCAGACTTGGAAAATTGAGTGTATAATGGATGAAGAAACAGGAATGTGACGAATAATAGTAATGCTGGTAACAAATCATGTTCATTCTTTTTGGGAGATGGCAATGTGAAGTGTAAATGTGTTCACTGATTAATAAAAGCCGTTTAACAAAGTTGCCAAAGAGTAGACAGGTTGTGTGTTAAATTCTAATTACTGTGTTTTAAAACTGGGTAAGTATGAATGATTGTTATTAACTTTACATTATTTTGTCATAGTTTGGAGTGTTTTAATTCAGGATGGAAAGGGTTGGGTGGGCCTGCGGCAAAATGGGAGAGCTGCTGTGGGGAGACGGTGTGTGTGTGTGTGTGTGTGTGTGTGTGTGTGTGTGTGTGTGTGTGCGTGTGTGCGCACGCGTGTGTGTGCGCTTGAATCCGCCAGCATGCACACTCCTGCTGGTGCTTATATTCCAGTCTGTCATTGGTCTGGGGGATGTGGGCCAGCTCCTTTTCTATCCTGTTCCTAACCAAAAATCCAGATTTTACAGGAGATCTGATATTTTGGATGTTGGCAACTAACTCAAAAATATTTCAGCACCATGGACCAAATGTATCTGTTGGTTAAATATGGCCACCATCTTATAATTTCTGATTTAGATAATTTGCTTTAGGTATTTTTTAAACAATGTCCTTAATTGTCTGTAGACTTCTTTTTCAGCATTTAGGTTTCAGAAACTGCTGCTTATATGTTGAAAAAACCCACCTTAGTAATTGGTCATTGGTTTGGACTTAAAAGATGGACTTAAAAGTAGGACTTAAAAGATGCTCAGTAAATGGCAAACATGTTCAGTTTTTAAAAGTCGTATCAATTTCTAGTTTTGTACTACTGGATTATGTATGCCCACTTTGGTAATGTGTACATATAGACTGCAGAGAGTTGTACAAGGACTGAAGTATGACTTAGTGTAAACTGTCAGAAATTGGTATTCGTCCATTTTTTTCTTGGATGTCTGGGCGATTGTACTAACCTAATCTAGGGGTTTGAAATACTGCTTCTGGGCAAAGGCTGCTTGTCTAGAAAATGACATTTTTTTGCTTACGGCATATCTGTGAAGTTCACGTATGACCCACAGTCCTTGGAATATCATGTTACCATGGGACAAAAAAAGTTTGGCGCTTTTCTAGTCCGAGTGTAGAATAAGGGGACAAAATGTTTTGTTGACCAGGCTTCGTGTTTCCATAGAGTGGAAATCAAGTCATTACCTTGACTGACTTTCTTTTTTTGTCTTTCCCACTTTCCTACTCTCATTCCAAATATTTAACAGCAAATCTCAAATAAAAAAAAAATAAGTGCAATTCATTCTTCCCTAGCTTTCAAGTCCACGGTACAGTTGATCTGTTCTGTCCCCCAGACCCACAGTCGTCGTTACTATGATTGCAGTGCCCTAGTTAAAGAGAATCCCTCCCCACTTTGAGAATACTTCTGTAGAGGTTGGTGTGGATGAGAGGTTAAAAATGGAATTGCAAGTGAAAGAATGGATTTATAACCTCAGCCTGGAACCCTCAATGTTCATAAGCTGGTGTTTGCCTGCTTCCGCCCCAGAATGAAGAATTCCCAGTTTTGTCTTTGTTTAGACTTACGTTTTTGAAGCGTTCTCCTCGACCCCCACCCTGGCTGTTAAAATGCTTTAATTTGGTCAGCCAAAGAATCCCAAGTAAGCTGTAACAGCCAGATTACTGTGGATGTAGTCAGGCATGAGAGAATTCTCACCATTGTGACCAGACCGTAGTGGCACTTGGAGGTGCTGGGAAGATCCTTGTGTGGGCACCCATGTGTGGACTTCTTCTCTCTCAGGAGGGAGGAGAACCAGTTAAAGTCCCAGACATCTGCCCTGTTTTTAGTTTGTGTTCAGGTGTTTTATATGCAAATTAGGAATATAAAACAACATTCAGTACTGGTTTAGATTCAGATTTAAGGTGAGTTTCTGTTGCATGAAAAGCTAAATTTGGGGGTAGGATCTTTGCCAGGCATATGTTACAGGAAAGGTGTCATTAAAAAGTGTCCTTTTAAATTGCTTGAACCTGTTAAGTAAATGTATGACCCAGTAGTGGGTTGTTTTGATTGTCGTTCTTTTGCTGGTGTACTACTTGCCTTTTGTTAGCATTTATATGAAGAGGCAATTGTGTGACGTATACTGTCTGGAAAACCTTAGACGCCACTTTTCCGTCGGGGACAGTCTTACGTCTGACAGACCCGGTGGCCCTGTTGGTCTCAGGAATCCCATTCTCATGTGTAGACTGAGGACCAGGAGTTTTTGCATATTCCATTTAAGAAGATTAAAGTGAAGCAAAGAAATTCCCCCTAATGTAATTTCTTTAATATTTTATCTGATTAGGATGAAATAATTGGAAGCTATAACTTCAAGATCTTCTACCTTCTGACATCCAGTGAAGGCAGTTCCGATACTATTTCTCTTTTTTTTCCAGTCTACTTGTTCTGTATTTGAAATACAAGAGAAAAATCTAGCTGCATTCGTAATCTACAATGCCATGCCTGTTTCATGTTCACTTCTTAGGTTCAGTTCAGGCCATATTGTCTAGTTCTTCCATATACTGTTAAAGTTATCCTTTTAATGTGTTACTTTTTACTTCTTGAAAATCTCATATTCCTCAAGCCTTAGGGCACATTAAAAAGTTAAAAATTTTTCCAACCAAAACTATCTCCCAATTTCAGGATCTTCTATTTATGACTCGGCCTCCTGGGAGAATTAGAATCTAGTCTACCAGGAGGACTCTTGTGTTTACATTTTTTGGCTTCAGTCACATGGAAAAACGAGAAGCTTTTTCATCTGTTCTTCTAGGAACTGTTTTTCTAGGAACGTAAAATTGGAACCAAGTAGGATGAGAACAGAAAACACAAGGGTGACCACAGAGTTGCCTGGTTGGATGGTCTACCTCTGCAAACCTTATGGTTTGTAATACCTGATTCTTAGTGGCTTGTAGAAGCAGGGTTTGTGTGTGTATAATTGATATATATATAAATAAATTTTTTTTCCTTTTCAGTACTCAGCCATATTAAGAGTTAGATTTCTATTTTACAAATGAAAAAACAAGCGAAAGGTGCCCAGAGTCACACAGCAGCTCGGTAAGTGGTTGAGCCAGGATTCTAAAGTCAGTCTCAAATTAGAAGTTATACTTTTAATCACCGATTCTGTAGAAAAGAGTGTACATTGTAGTGGTAGTACTCTTAAATATCCCTTTAGATTGAAGAAAATACTTCACATTTGAGTGCCTAGTAGGTCCCAGCACCCCCATATGTTTGAGGAAGATAGTAGTAAACTGTAAGACAAAGTTCCAACTTTAGGGGTGTTTATATTCTAGTAATGGATACAATCTAGCAAATGCTATGGAAGAGAAACCAAGCAGGATTAAGGGACAAAATGTGGCAAGTTCCATTTTCATTTGAGTGCCCAGGCAAGGCAGAGACTTAAAAATTAAACTAGGGAGCAAGCCATGGCCATTTATTGGGGGCACAAGAGAGGGAGCAAGTGCAGAGGCCTTGGAGTAGTTACATTAACTTGCATTTAATTCATCAAGCTTTTGTTTTATATGTCATCTTCAAGCCTTTTCTGAAAGAATTGACAGTGCGTGATAATGCTTAATTTTTTTCTACAGGACTTTTTTCACTAGTAATTGATCTTGACGTAGCCTCGAGGTACATGTTTTTCCCATTTTATACAAATGAGAATTAAGACACAGACCTGGGCATAAATAAAAGTGTATAATTTAATGACTCTGATTGTAACCATCAGCCAGCTTCAACAGTTAATCAACACTTAACCAATGTCTCTTCATCTCCACCACTTCTCCCCATTTCTCTGGAGTATTTTATATTTTCTTTATCTTAAAATTTTAAATCTTTAGAAGAGTTACAAGAATAATTCAGTTAATATCTGTAAGCTGTTTGCTTGGGTCACCAATTGTTGGAATTATCTCTCTATGTATTTATTAACTGTTGTATCAAGTTGTTTGATCTAGAACAGCCTCTTTGATCTAGAACAGTTCTCAAGCCTTTGTCACTAATGTCAGTGGCAGTTTGCGGAGTCCATGCCTGCTGGGCTGCAGAATCTCTCAATTTGGATTTGTCTAGCTGCTTTCTCATAGGTTAAACATTGTTGGCAAGAACATTACTTAGGGATGTCAGTATATTATATGAGGAGGCATGTCAGTTTGTCCCACTGTTGACTTTAGGTAATCATTTAATTTAGGTGATACCCACTAGATTGCTCCATTGTAAATGTACCCTTTTTCCTTTTGTAATTAATAAATTATTTGTGGAGTGACAAACTCGAGACTGGATATTCTTTTCTCTTACAGTCTTCCACTGGTTTTAGCATCTGGCGATGATTCTGAATCAGTTATTGCTGGATTACTTTAAAGCAAATGCAGATGTAAAATTTCACCTAAGATAAGGGCTTTTAAAAAGATAACCACAGTGCCTTTATACAATTAACATCTAATCCACGTTCAGATACCCTGAATTGTCTCAGTTGGTTTGCTTGAATCTGAACCCAAACAAGGTCAACAGATTACATTTACTTGATGGCCTCTAAAAAGTTTTTTACTCTGTACAGTCATGTGCCACAAACCGATGTTTCGGTCAACACCAGACTGCATATACGACAATAGTATGCCATCTAGCCTAGGCGTGTAGTAGGCTATACCATCTAGGGTTGTGTAAGTGCGCCCTGATGAAGTTGCTTAATGATGCATTTCTCAGAACGTAACTTGTCCTTAAGTGGTGCATGACTGTAATAGCTTCCCCACCCTTCCTCCCTTTCTGAATTCGACCATTTCCTGGTGTTATATTTCTGTAAACTGGGAGATAGAATTTTGATTAGATTCAGGTAGTTTCTCAAGAGTACGTAAGTGTTCCTGGGTGTAACATCCCATCGGGAGGCACACATGTCTGCCTTTTAGAGATAAGATTAATTCTTGGTAGGTACAAGTATCGTCAGCCTCATCTCTCCATTCTGAAGTGCCCCATCAACCTTTCTTCACCTAAGGGTTCTATCATCTATTGTAATCATTGCCTAGGTTCATCATTTCACTAGGGATTGCAAAGGGTGATTTTTTAATCGCATCATTCCTTTATTGATCTGCTAGAATTTTTCTAACTTGTGTATATTTCTGCTTTTTTATGCGTATCTTCCTGGAGAGTCATAAAAGGATACATTCTACATCTTTACTTAACAGAATGTTTCTAGATTCCCTTAGTGATCCTCTGATACATCCTCAATTTTCTCATCTGTAAATTGAGGATAATTATGCCTACCTCCTGGGGTTTTTGTGAGGATTAGATGGTACATATAGTGTAAAAATGGTGCCTGACGTTACTGTTTGTAAATGGTAGTGATTAAAGTAACTTTTTCTGTTTTATGGGAACATTTAACTCAAGTGTAATAGAGAGGTGGAGAAAGGAGAGATTCTTTCTAGACTGACACCAGCAGGATGCTTGGACTTGTATAGAGTATGTTGATGGGAAGTGCTACTTGCCCACGCTGACCTGTCTTTTGACTGCGTGGAAATGACCATAATACAAAAAGCACTTACGTAAGGAAGGTCCGCGCGTACCACTATACACTGTGAAGTGAATGTTGACAATTGCAAGGTAAAATCTGGAGCACATTCTGAAGTGGAGTCAGAATAATGAAGGGAAGTGGGCCACTCTTAACACTGGGCAGATAGGATGAGATGGTGGCTCCAGATACAGATTTTTACTACGTCATGGCCCACTGAGATTTTTGTCTAAACAAAAGACATTCTTGCTTTGATTTGCCTTGTAGTCATTCCACACACCCTCAGTTAGAGCTGTTTGAGGTTGCTGATCACTTTGGTGGAGGAAGAAACGCTCTACTCCTTGGCCTTTTAATTTGCCATCTCTATTGCTTAAAAAACAAACAAATAAACCCACTGTGATTGTATAGGATATTGGAAGTTTAACACTTGATCAGGTACTTAGTCATTAATATTTGCTTCATTTATTTAACAAACATTTGAGCGCTTGCAGTGTGCTAGACGGCGTTCTAGACACAGACTACATCAATGAACAACACAGACGAGAATCTCTGCCTTCATGGAGTTTACATTCCAGTAGTGAGGAGACAACAAACATAAGCTTTATAGTATGTTAGAAGGTGTCGAGTGCTATGGAAAAATAAAGTAGGATAAATAAAGAATGAGATGGTTAAGGAAGTTACTTTTGAGCAAAGTTGTAAATGAGAAGCAAGTCTTGTGAAAATCTCAGAGTGTAACTCGCATGGGAAACAGCCAGTGTGAAGGCGCTCAGCATGTTTCGTCCAGTATGCATTGTGGATTAAGGGATGACTGCTTGCGGTGTTAATTAAAGCTTGGAAACTGGTTAAGAGGCTGGGACAGTTAGTTAACTGGATGAGATGGGATGGTGATTTGGACAAGGGTCCCTCCCAGCAGTTGAGATGATTCTGGATATGTTTTTGCGGTAGAGCCAATAGGCTAATGGATTGATTGTGTGTGGGGTGAGAGAGAGAGTGAGAAAGCTGTTCAAAGCTGAGTGGTACTTCTGGCTTGAGCAGCAGTGAAGACGGAGTTACCATTCCCTGAGTCAGGGAGACTGAGAGTAGAACAGGTTTAACAGGTACGAGCTAAGTTATTTTTACTCCCTAACAAAAGGATAGGTGGTCACAAAGACTTCAATAAGAACAGTGGTCATCATTTTTACTATGAGAACTCTTAGGTCTGTGGATCATAATATAGCCCGTTCTTTTAACCTAATGTCTTAAAATAATGTGAGTGTTAGCGGTGAAGGAAGCTGGGCTTGGATAGATTCATACAGCCCATGGTAACAAAGTTAGAGGTAGAAGACACTTTGAGACCTAACTTTTTATTCTCTCGTGGAAAGACTAATTAATAGAAAGAGAATGAAGGCCAAAGCCTAGCACTTTGGATGGTGAGAACCTGGATAATCCCTGTTATAGCTGACTCGTCAAGGTGTTTCTGCGCTGTTTGTTTACCTTGGAATCCTGTACCTGGGACTTCTTTTTGTTTTGAATCTTTTCATTTTCTCCATACATATCCATTTACATACGATCATACGTAAATACTTAAGTTGAATTTTATCTTATGTGCTCTTTGCAGTCTATTTTGTTAACATTTGGTATGTATCCATCTCAGGTATTTTCTCTGTGAGCATAAATTGTTAAGTGTGAATGATGTTCGGTCTTTTGTTAATTAGTATTGTTTGTTTCTATCAATAAAAAATGTCTTTTTCATTAAAGGTAGTATTGCTTAGTGACTAAGGGCAGATGCTGTTTAGACCGATGCAAGTGTAAATCCTGTCATCAACAAAAATAAACTGCATCCTGGAGCAAGTTCTACTACCTCCTCGGTTCATTTTTCTCATTTGTAAAATAATCATAATAATTGTACTTACCCCATGATTGTTGTGAAGATTAAAGTAATGCATGCACCATTGTAGGCACAGTACCTACAAGGTGTACTGTGTGTTTATTTACCTTAGAAGGACTTAAATCAGTAAGTGTCAGGTTTTAGTTTTTTATGTCCATTATTTATAACTTACTCATCTTTAACCAGTGTTTTATAAGTGGATGGTGCTGAGCCTCTTAAATTCTTCTAAGAGTTAACACAAATATTTAGTCATTTGGATTATATGATATGGTATCATAGGTGCCGTTGCTTTATTTCTTCTCTTAAAAAAACAGGTTATTGGAGTTTGTTCCATATACATGATCCAGTATCATTCATGTAAAAGTTGAAACCAGCGGTAGTTTCAGAGTTGGCCCCGTACCCAAAAGGCCTTCATTTTCTGAGACCTTCCTTTCTTTCTTTCTTTCTTTCTTTCTTTTCTTTCTTTTCTTTCTTTTCTTTTTCTTTCTTTCTCTCTCTCTCTCTCTCTCTCTCTCTCTCTCTCTCTCTCTCTCTTTCTCTTTCTTCTCTTTCTTTTTTTAATCTCCAACCCCTTCTCATCTCAGATGCTAATTCCTCCTATTTTGTTGAAGAGACGAGATAGGTTTAGTAGTTTCTTTGGGATCAGTTTCTGGACCCTAGTAGTTCCCCTCAGTTCATTAAAAAATAAGTGCAACTTTC